GGGGTTTTGGTCCAACGTTATGATCTGGCAACATCTTTCCACTGTTTTGTGATTCCTTGTAAGACCACCTCCTTCCTACTTAGACTAGGGTCTACTGGCCCATTGCTTCACTGGCTTGTCTCTTTTGCAACAGTAACTCTAATAAAAGGAGCCCTGATGGTGCAATGGTTAAGCAGGTTGGGGGTCCAAACCTAGCAAAAGCTCTGCAGGACAAAGACCTGGTGATCCGCCCCTGCACAGACTGTTCTTATCAGGTGCCCTAGAGTCAGCTCCGACTCAGAGCAACCCCGTGGACAACAGAATGAAACCCTGCCCGGTCCTGTGCCAGCCTCCCAATCCTTGCTGTGCTTGAGTCCATATCATGGCAGCCACTGTGTCAGTCCATCCCATTGAGGGTTTTCCCCTTTTTCACTGACCCTCCACTTTACCAAGCAAGATATCCTTCTCTGGGGACTGGTCCCTTCTGACAACATGACCAAAGTAGTTGACACGGAGTCTGGTCATTCCTGCTTCCACGGAGTATTCCAGCTGTACCTCTTCTAAGACAGATTTGTTTGTTCTTCTGACACTTCATGGTTTTTTCAGTGTTCTTTGTCAACACTACAATTCAAAGGCATCAATTCTTCCTCAGTCTTCCTTACTCACTTCCACATTCAAGAAAGACCCGGCAACTTGCTTCTGTACAGATTACAGCCCAGAAAACCTATGGAGCGGTTCTGCACTGTGACATGGGCCCACGAAGAGTCGGAGCTGACTCGACGGCACACGACTTTATTACACTTAAAACGGAGGGAATCCTGAAGTCAGTCCTCAGCAAGAAGAGGAAGTCAGTCCAGCTGGCAACAATGAGATGTCAAGACTCGAGAAAACAGGGAACTGATGTGATGAAGTAGAAACTGACTTCCCACAACGTGGCAGGCAGGTGGCAGACCTGCCCCCAAAGATGGCCTGCCTACAGCAATGGGCACTGGAGGCCAGGCCTTTAAAAGGTGGTGGGGGTGTACAATATTGCCAGAGGATTGCTGGAATAGCTGAGGGGGATGGCCAGCAAATGCAGCAAACGGTCTTCCCAGGGACAAGGAGCTCTGCTTGAAACTATTCCTTTACCCAAACCAAAAACTAAAAGACAACCAGGAAAGACGTCTGTAAGCTGCTGAGCCAGAATGGAATCAAGTCTCATTAAAAACAAATAAGACAAGCTGACATTTTGATTGAACGAACGATTTGGCAGATGCAGGGAAAAGCAGCAGATGTCACATATTTCGGCATCAACAAACCATCACCATCCCTTAAACTTTTATTGGAAAGAGGGGCTCAGCCCATCTTTAATAATCGGGTAGGCAGGATGTGTGTAACAGGATTTAGTACTGTGGGTATAACCCTGATTATAAGATTTAAAAAAAAAAAAGGCTTTGGAGAAGGTGTATATGTGTGTGTGTTGTGTGTGTGCATGGGGGGAGTTGAAGGACCCCATTTTGGTTTACCTGTCATCTGTAGGAGATACTGTGAATTCAAAATCCTGGGATTAGGGTGAAATCCTTAATTTAGATGTTTTCCTTGTGCAAACTATAGCAAATATTGTCATTGCTCCCAATGGGTAAGGCTGTTGGGGTTTCACTGCTATAACTCTGCAAGGATCAGTGGGGCCAGCCATGTGAAGGGATTTGGGGCCTAGCTCACAGAGGACAGGGAGACATGTCCCCAGGGAAGCCAGTACACTTCTCATTCAGAGTGGATTCATGAAGAAGTGGTAAGAGACCTAGGTTCCTGGGGAGTCCCAGGATGGTGCAAATGGTTATGCACCAGACTACTAGCTGAAAGGCCATGGATCCAACCTATCCAGAAGCGCTTCCTAAGACAGGCCCCAGGGTCTGCTTCTGCAAGGTCACAGCCTTGAAAACCCTTGGAGCAGCTCTACTCTACACATGGGGCGCTGCCAAGCGGTGGGATCAGCTAGACAACAACCAACAACCTGACCCTGGCTTTGGATACTCACTGGGGTTATTTTATGTACAAATGTTTGTAATGGCTTTTTTACAAGTGAGATGAAAAAGCCAGGAGCTGAAAAGGGAGCAGACTCCTTGTGAGGAAGGACAATGAAGAGGAGCCAGGAAAGAAACTTGTCATCATCCTCATAAAAGAGCAAATGGCTCTTACACTTGCCTGTGTGGGGTCACTCACCACCCAAAGAGGGCCGGACAAGCCAGAGGCAAGGCATTGTTCAAAATGCCCACAGGCAGGGGGAGGATAAGAGAGGAGGGAGAGGAACAAACTGAGGTTGGAGATCATCCGGGGAGCACAGTCCTGGGGGCAGAGGGCTCGGTTCTGCTGAGCTCTGCTGCTGCAGGGTCCAAACCTGATTAGATAAAATGGGTTTGCAGGAGCTGCCCTATCTCTGCCTTGAAGACAGCCCCTGGCCTATCACGATAAGCCGATAAGCCGCACTGGCACCATGAGGCCCACAGCCCAGTCCAACCCTGCTGAAAACAGAGGGAGGGATGAGGCAGTGTGGTGTGGCAGGAAGAGTGTAACTGGCTTTGGGTGAGACAGTTGGGGCCTGCCAGCTGAATGTCCTCGGGAGTCACTGGACCTCTGAGGTGGTATGTTCAACCACAGCTCAGGGCCACAATCCTGTCCACCCTACATGGTTGCTGAGAAAATGAGCTCTTTTGTTTGAAAGTGTCCAACACACCGTGGCTCATGCAAACCTGTGTCCCTGTGAGCTGCTGCACTGGCGGCTGCAGGGCCACCTGGGGAACGGACTGGGAAGGAAAAGGGCAGACAGGCACTTGAGGGGAGGCCGCCCAGGACTCAGTGAGTGCGGAGGCGTGCCCGACTGGAGGGCAGCACAGGCTCTGCAGGGCATTCCTTCTCCTGGCCCTGCCCCTGGGCGCTCCAGGATTCCAGGAACGGGAGGATAAGAGACGACTACGTCCACCGTGTGGCCATACTTCAGCCCCAGAGGCCCCGCATTGCTTTGGTGCAGTCACAGTGACAGTCTGCATGTCTTTGGCAATCACACACTGGTGGGGAGACAGGATGCCCTGGCTGTAGCCGGGTGGAGGTCCTGGCCATGGTGCCCGCAGCCTGGGGACACTCAGAGTTCATGCTTCTTGTTATCAATGTGCTGAACTGTAGGTCCTGGGGCTTGGGGGTGAGCCGCTGGCCCCTGGTGGCCAGGCTGCTGGCCTGTGGGGGTGAAGTCCCGCAGAAGCCCACTCTCTACTCCGTGCTGCCGGAGGGGCTCGGTCCCCACCAGCCCCTGCATTCTCAGGTAGCCCTGCTGGCAAAAGGGTGGCAGCTTCTGGCGTGTCAGGGCGAACAGGAAACAGGACTCTACACAAAAGCAACAGAGGGAGAGAGATTAGTTGGGCTGTGCGTGTGTCAAAAGGTGCAGGAGGCTGCTGACGTCCCAGGGGCTCAATGGTACCCCAGAACTGACATGTTCAGGCGCCTCAAGTCTGACCTGAATGGCCATGGATCTCATCTGTCCTGGTTCCCTAGTGCTGCTCTGACAAGAAATACACCACAAATGGGATGGCCTTAACAAACAGGACTTTATTCTTACAATCTGCAGGCTTTAAGTCCAAGTTCAAAGTGCCAAGCTCTAGGGGCTGGGTGAAAGCCCCTCAACCTTGGGGTCCAGCTCTACCTCCTGCTCCCAGCCCACTGGAGCTAGAGGCATTTCTTCACTCAGACAGCTGCTGGCTGCTGAGGCTGAGAAACCTCAAGGTTGACAAGTAAAAAGGCACAGTCCCGATGTTACCAAACCACATGGCAGGCCATTAACTTAAGTCCACTGTAAGTCCCAAGGTCGGCAAAGCATAGCAGGCTGCTGAGCAATGACATGGCTACATGCAGAGTCCAAGCGTGCCATAGGCTAGAGACCATTCCCAAAGGCTTCTCCTTAAATATGGGAAGCAAACCACATCCCAAAGGCAGCTAACCAGCTGCTTGTGGCAATCATGGAGTTGACTGCCAGTCTCCTCATGGGGATTAACTACCACCAGGTGCCCAGCCACTCCACCAGGCCCAGCCAAGCTGACACACAAACCGAACGACCACATCATCCTTCCCCGAGGTGCCCAGAACAGGAGGCTGCTTCGACATTCTGGAAGAAGGCGGCTCTGAGATGTAAGAACCAAAGACGGTGCCCTTCCACATGTGGGCAGAAACTCAGAGGCCTGCCCCATTTGGAGCTTGGAGAGCACTCATCACAGAAGGGAAGTGGCCAAGCACAGCCCGCGAAGGTGGCTTCCCTCTCGATGGGTGGGTGTGTGCTGTGTGTAAGCCTCTGTTTCCGAGCACCATCGGGGTCGGGATACAAACAGAAAGCATGGCTCCTTATCTCTGCCACAGCAAGAAGTGAGCACGAGATCAAATCTGATCAGTCAGGACACAGCCGTCCATAAAAACCAAATCCACTGCTCGAGAGTCAATTCTGCCTCACAGGGACCCTACAGGACCGAGTAGAACTGCCCTACGGGGTTTTCAAGGCTGAAGCAGACTGCTACGCTCCATCTTTCTCCTGTGAAGCCGCTGGTGGGTTCGCTGGCGGCGACCTTTCAGTCAGCAGCCACGGTGCCACCAGGGCTCCTGACGAACTTGTAGACGCCTATTCGTTAGCTACCTGAGGGTAACTGTTAGAAGGAACAACCGAATGAGCTAGAAGTAGTTGCTTCTATGGAATGGAAGTGGGAAAGGATGGAGAAGTCTTTTATCCAAGTACTTATGTGACCTGATGAAAATAAAGTCGGGAACCGACACAGATGTGGCTCAGCGTTCTGGGGGACTGAGAGACTGGAGGGGGAGGTGAAGGGGCCAAAGGACAGAACATTCCCACCATTGGGCTCGAGTCCTTCTGCAAGTCTGGGTAACCTTGTCACCTCCCTGAGCCCTTTAATCTCAGCTAAGACATGAGCATGTTCTTAAAGTCAATCGCTTCTGTAGAAAACCATCCTGGGGCTGCACAGATTGTGTAGACTGTAAGGTGCTACCCAAACGTTACGTGTTAACTCGTTTCTGACTCACAGCACTGAGTGCCCTGGAAGAGTGGGCCGTGGCAGTCCCTCCGAACAGGAAGGAGAAAGGTTCAGGATGCCAGCAGGAGGACAGCAGTGTGTCTCTATGGCAAACTCCACCCTTCTGATGGTGGCACTCCTCCTGCAGGGCCAGGGGGCCTAAAAGCCCAGCAGAGTCTAGGGCTGGAACTAGCAGCCGCCCATTAGCTGGGGGCGGGGCAGAGGGAGGCCCAGCAGTGCCAGGGCTTCCAGCTGGGGGACTCTCCCTCGTGGAAGGCAGCGGCGCTCAGTGGATTGTACTGTTGAACAGCATCTAGGGAGTGGGGGTTAGGAGGTGTAAGGATGAAACGGGGTGCGATATGCTAACTCAGGGTGGGCTCACGCGTCCTAACATGCGCTGGCGTTCTGTGAACTCCTGCTGTTGTCTGCTGCTGGTGAGTCGGTTCCGACCCACAGTGACCCCATGTGCAACAGAACAAATGTTGCCTTGTCCAGCACTACACCAGACACTGCTTTGCTCTGATCCATAGGGTTTTTATTGGCTAATATTCAGAAATAGAGTGCCAGGCCTTCCTTCCTGTTGTTGTTATGTGCCGTCGAGTCAGACCCGACTCATAGCGACCCCTCCTTGGGTTTCCAAGGCAGTATCACTACAGAAGTAGATTGCCTCATCTTCCTTCTGAGGAGTGGCTGGTGGGTATGAACCGCCAGCCTTCTGGTTAGCTGTCAAGTGCCTTAGGCCTTTCTTCCTAGTCTGTCTTAATCTGGAAGCTCCACTGAAACCCATCCACCGCGGGTGACCCTGCTGGTACTTGAAATACCAGTGGCCTAGCTTCCAACATCACAGCAACACGCAAGCCACCCCAGTACAACAGACAAGGGGTGGTGGTGTCTCCTTTGAGAAACAGAAGGGATTCTGTAGCTGAGGGTTCTAGACTTGTATGACTTCACCTGTAAGCATGACCACGGCTGACAGTCTGAAGAACTCTAGCAGTTTCAAGCTGCTCAGCTCCGGCTCCTATGAATTAACTCCGCTTGAGCTTCCATGTGTTTTTAGGTTATTACTTTGGACTATTGTTTCCACTGTTGCCAGTCTTCTCCCATAACACACAGTTGTAATTCAAAGTGGACCACTGAAACAAGGTCATTTGCTCTCTAACTTGTAGGACGGGGCCTCTCACCAGATCTGATGTGACCAGTGTGCAAACGGTTAAGCACTTGACTATTAGCAGAAAGGTGGGTGGTTCACATCCACCAGAGGTGCCATGGAAGGCAGGCCTGGCCATTTTCTTCAGAAAACCCTACGGAGCAGTTCTACTCTGCAGACGTGAAGTCGCCGTGAGGCAGTATCGACTCAGTGGCAACAAACAGCAGCGGCAGCACGTGTCTGACAGACAACACACACTCAGTGAACACTGGCTGAAGAACAACGAAAGGAACAGATAGCCTAGGAATTCAGGCGATGAAAAAAAAGACAAGCAACTGGCTTTCTTCACTCAATTCCCCCTCTGGGTCATTTGCCTTCTTTCTCCAGGTCTCTCTGTGGGTACGGCTGTCAGATCCATTTTCCAGTTTACTAATTCTCTCTTCATCTCTGTCAAATGTACATGTCTAATGTACATGTCTCCACTTTTACACTGAATTTCTAATTTATTTTTTTATTTCCAGAAGTTCTACTTGGGCCTTTTTCAGAACTGCTCCATTTTGGTGGTCTCCACTCCTGCCGTATTCTCAATCACCTCTTTTAAAAATATTCTTCATATATAATTTTTATAGTCTCCTTATTTTATTATTGGGCAATCTACATCTGTAGTGATACTGCCTCGGGAACCCAAGGAGGGGTCACTATGAGTCAGGTCCAACTTGACAGCACATAACAACAACAACATTTTATTATGCTGTTGTTGGTCACCATTGCATCAATTCTGACTTGCAGTGACCCTGCGTGTACAGAGCAGAACTCCTCCAAAGGGCTCTTGAGGCTGTGACTGTTAGGAAGCTGATCACCAGGTCTGTCCACCAAGGCGCCTCTAAGGAGGTTTGAACTGCCAGCCTTTTGGCTAGTAGTCAAGTGCTTAACCATTTATGCTACCCAGTCAACTACTTACTTACTTACTTACTTAGTATTCTATAGCTGATTATTCCAGTATCTGCAGTCTTGGTGGGTCTGATCCTAGAGTTGGTTGTCTCTGCTGCCCCTCCCTCAAGATGGTTCGTGTCCTTATGTGTTAATTGACTTTTGATCAGTTCATATTCCTTGGAACCTAACCTGTGGGTATTCTCTGAGACTCAGTTTTAAAGTGTGCTTCTCCAGTGAAGACTTGCACCTGCTTTGGTGAGATATTTAGGATTCCTGCACCACCATGCTGATGTGAAACACAGCTCCACACACATGAGGGGGGCCATTAAAAAACAAAACAAAAAAACAAAAACAAAACTTGCTGTTGAGTCAATCCAATTCATAGCGACCCCAAAGGACAGGGTAGAACGCCCCATAGGCTTTCCAAAGCTGTAAATCTTTATGGAAGCAGACTGCCTCATCTTTCTCCTGCAGAGTAGCTTGTGGGTGTGAACCATCAGCATTTTGGTCTGCAGCTAACACCTTGGCTCTAGCTAATTGTCAGCAGAGCTCCAGCGGGAGCTTTGTGCTTTCTTCTATCATCTGGCCTCTGGGCGGCTCCCTTGTTTTCCTGCCAGTTCTTAACAAGAGACATTTTATCCAGTGATTTTAGGTGCGCTGTGCTGTTCTGGGAAGGGGATTCTGTGAACATCTGGTCTACCCTATTGTAGGAAACAGATGCCTCAAGTGTGTATTTCTACATGTAGGCCCTGAAATCCTACGGGACACAGACTTGGTCTTTCTTTGACCTCTATCTCAGTCCCTTTGTCCTTCTGGGAACCTAGGTTACCTGCATAGAAGTTTCTCAAATCGGTGTCCAAACAGTTCTCCAGGAAGCGCCTCAGAGGTAGAATGTGTCCGACTGGGGCGGTCCAATCTGTCAGGAAGTCTTCTACGATGTGATGGATGGCTGTGGGCCGAGGCAGCAGCCAGTCTGCAGGGCGGAACCTCACCTCCTGCTCTGTTGGGGAAGAGGGAGGCTGTGTCAAAGCTAGAGGCTGGGATGTGCATTCTGGACCTAACCCAGCGGCAGGTCCTGCACATCCCAAATGCCCCCCTTGTTCACTGGCTTCCCTGATCCACCTCTGTGGAATGCCACTGTCGCGCAGCTTGAATTATTAGTTACTCCTTATATTAGATATAAGAAGCTCTGGTCATGTACTGCCTAAGGCATTTGAATGTTAACAGAAGGTTGGCAGTTCAAACCCACTAGCTGCTCCGCAGAAGGAAGTTGGGGCAAGCTACTTATGTAAAGATTTACAGACTTGGAAACTCAATGGGGGTCACTATGAGTTGGAAACGACTTGATGACAGTGAGTTTGGTTTTTTTTAAGTGTAATAGATATAAACCTACTTTCCTGTCACTTCTACCTGTTGATACTACCTCTGTCCTTTGGAACACCCATATATAGACCACCCTCTTCCATGTCACAATCCTTTAAGTTATGAAGCAGGAGTTGTGTTCCCAGGTGGTTCACTTATTGGTAGCTATCTGGGGCACTCTCCTGGCATTCTGTGGATGTCTTCTCACTTATCCTTTAATGACCCTCCAAGGAAGGTGCTATGTCATCCCCATTTGATAGGTAAGGAAACAGGCTCAGAGAGGTTAAGTGATGGCCTGAGGCCACACAATGAGGAAAGGGCAGACCTGGGATCACCCAGGCTTTGCCACACTCCTGTTTTGAAAGCCCACTTTTAGCTCTTCTCCCTGTTCTTCCAACATCCAGTGTCCAGATTCCACCCCATCCCAAATCCCAATCAGCCTCCTCTGAGTGCACTAGAGCACGCGGAGCGCAGTACCTAGGACATCTGACTGCTAACCAGAAGGCTGGCAGTTCAAACCCACCAGCCACTCCTTGGAAGGAAGACTGGGCAATCTATTTCCATAGAAACACTGCCTCGGAAACCCAAGGAGGGGTCACTATGAGTCGAATTGACTTTACGGCATTGAGGTTTTTTTTTTTTTTTTGGTGGAGCATGACAATGGCCTTCTTACTATGGGGCCCCTGGAGGAGATTATGACACTCCAGGTGTGGCCTGCCCAGGTCATGGAATGTTCCAGGGTATGGGAACATCAATCAGTGCTCATCCTCTGACCTTCTCCCCATGTGGTCTCTGGGGAGAGTCTCCCAGCAGTGTCCCTTGTCAGATAGGAGTGCTGTGTGAGGGCTCTATGGTGACAACTCTATAGACCAGAGGGTCTGAGGAGTTCCCGTCTCACAAAGTCCCTGCTGAGCTGAGGGCAGAGGCCCAGCTCACCTGTGGGCAGGTGTCTGTAGTAGTAGATGACAGGATGGAGGAAGTTAGACTGCCACGCGTCTTTCATGTGCCCCACCGACCGGTCATAGAAGAAGACGTCCTTGTCGGGTCCAGAGTAATTCTTTCCATACTCCATGTTGATGACGAAAAGCCCATACCTCGCCTTCCTTCCAGTGAGGGTCTCTAGCTGGGCCAGCATCTGCATGGGGAACTCCTGCAGGTACTCAAATGCTGTGGCATTCCTGGGGATAATGCCAACCGGAGAGTCAATGAGAAACCCATATTACCGCAGTGGAGGAGAGAGGAGGTGAGAGGGATGTATGTGCGTCTGTGTCTCCAAGAAGCTTCACGCAAACAGTGCAAAAGCCTCTGCTCAGCTCCTTACATCAGATATAAGGAGCTCTGATGGCGTAGTGCCTAAGGCATTGACTGCTAACCAGAAGGTTGGCAGTTCAAACCCACTAACTGCTCCACAGAAGGAAGATGGGGCAATCTACTTCCGTAAAGATTTACAGCCTCGGAAACCCATTAGGGGTTGTGGTGAGTTGGAAATGACTTGATGGCTGTTCTGGTTCCCTAGTGCCGCTCTGACAAGAATATACCACAAGTGGGATGGCCTTAACAAACAGGAGTTTATTCTCTTAACACTTTGGAGGCTTTAAGTCCGAGTTCAAAGTGCCAGGCTCTAGGGGCTGGGTGAAAGCCCTTCAATCTTGGGATCCAGCTCTGCCTTCTGGTCCCGGCCCACTGGAGCTAGAGGCTTTTCTTCAACTCAGACAGCTGCAGGCTGCTGAGGCTGCCAAGCCCAAGGTTGACAAGTAAAAAGGCACAGTCCCGATATTACCAAACCACACAGCAGGCCATTAATT